GTAGCTGTCAAATCATAAAGAGCTATGTAAGAGATTGCATCATAAAAAGGTAAATGTAATATTGATATAAAATACACATTAAATAATTCGCGAGAATGTCTCACAATTGAGTTCTATTCCGAGGATTGGGGAGTAGAGAGGAATTGTGCATCAATATACAGATATTCCCAAAAAAAAAAAAGCATCTAAGATTAATAATAATAATAAGCATGTTGTGTCTGAGTTTCATAGTATTTGATTTTACTAAATCGATAGATGACCCCCTCGCGGTGAGACTCGGATAGGACACACCTCTTAAATTAGGTGAGTAGAGCTCGGTGATTGATATCTTCCTCATGGTTGCATATACAAGTCAGAATACTGAGCTGATTCCTGAAAATTTTATTTCTTCGTCCATGTTATACTTGTTTGACAAATTTTCAAGTACTTCGTCGTTGAAATTTTAATTTTTCTGGTGTCTATCAACCTCATGCCTTAAAATAATTCGATAACTGGATTAATACTACTGGCTTCCTATACGATGATCATGCGTAATGTTGTCTTTGTAATAATTTACTCTTACCAAATACTGCATAACAAAAACTGGCGACTATTTACGAAGACGACAGCGCAGATTCTTTTTTATGGAAAAGAATAATTAAGATGTCAGACTATCAAAATACCTCTCAAAATATCGCCACCTCTCAAGATACCCTGGAGACTGATACTGATGAGGAGACTGTTAAGTTGAAAAAATATCGCAAATACTGGTGGAAAACCGGTGAATACTACCAAAAGGCCAATTGGGAAGAAGCAAGGTAAAATCTTTTTCCTACTTATTCGATAATTTACTATTTTATGAGCTAAATTTCTGTTATTTTGTTATGAAGTTTACCCTATGAGCTTGCTATCGACGTTTCTTGGGAAGATTATGTCGAAAAAACGGATAAATACAATATGTACATGCTGGTGGGAATGGGAAAACGGAGTCGTTTGTGTAATTGTCATTCCATGAAAGCAGTGTTGGTGCCATTGTCCGGCAAATTCATAGGGCAACTGAAAATGCTCTGGGTACTAATTATGACATTATTGGAGTTTTGCGTTCTTTTATTGTCTACACCTACGATTGAACGTAAAGGTGTACCTTATGACATTATTGGCCTTGGAACAACAAGTATTTTGCATTTTTTTCTTCTTAATTTTGAATATTTTTCCGTTACTAACTATCTTCGGCTAAAAAGCAACAAGGTCACATGAAATCGCCAAAGAAGCGGATGCTTCATTTCGACCAGTGGCAAAACCTCGAGTAAATAGAGGCGGATCTGATGGAAAGGTATGAAAAGTTCCTGATGTGATTGTTTGGCGTTTTACAATGACTTACTTTTTTTAGAATCAGCCTTGGCCAAATTTAGTAGTGGAGGTTGCAATATGCAGAATCTGAAGCGCATGTCATAGTCAAGGATATTGGCTTATCAATGCTATTGTGATTAAAATAGAACCTATCACATCAGTTACAACACCATCTGCAATTCCAACGTGCATGACTGTAAGTATGATAAAGGGATTCAATTCTACTCAGTTTGCTTTGACACTGTTTATTCTTAATAGGCCTGGCATTACTGCATAAATAATGTAACAGCTGTTGGCGTATTAAATCCCACAATGGTATGTTTGAACTGTTATTGTGCACTTTTTTAGCATAGAATTAAATTAATTTAAGGTATTCCTTTATTGTAGTATGAATTCGGCTCGGTTGACCGCCAGGGAAATCCAATCAATCCACAACTTGGACAAAATGTCATCAATATTCAACTGGAGTGCCTCTATCATGGAGCACCTAATGTTGTTGTTCCATCACTTCCTCTATATCTACCTAACCCCATTCCTATCGATCCGTTTTACAGCATGTTAGGTTTGCTGTTGAACATTGTATTGTTAGGTAGATATTAACAGTAGATTATGTAAAAGTTTTTACGATACAGTACCACAATTCATATTATATTTGCTGAATCGAGAATAAAAAATGCATTTGCTTGATTTAAATTACTTGTGCACCCATTACCATGTCGTGTGAAGGAGTATAATAATAAGAGTAATACGCCATTTTTACCTACGTTTTTAGTGATATTGAAAATTATTACTATACACAGATTTCGAATAATAATAAGTAAAATCGCCCCGCCGTTACTTTCGGGGGAGACTGTAACCACAGCTTATACGTAAATAAAAATAAAAAGTTAATGATTTACTAGTTTTCTATCTGTGAGAAAGCTTTCAGATGAGACATTAATTGAGGAAAGAATAGGTAAGTCGTCTCCCTCTCAGTCACACCCATTGGCAGCTGGTTTGTGGGGATTATAGACATTTGGTCATGTGATTAAAGTATGTCATTTCCGTTTTTGACTATTGAAAATATGTTTCTATCTTCCCCTTCCCTACGTTATTGCTCACACATTTCAAAAATAAATGTAATTTAGAGGAATAACAAGTGAATAACAATAAGTATAACAATGTTATTTGAAAAATATGTCTAAAGTTGGTTGTTTTTTCTCTTCCTGAACTTTGGCAGCATGTCGGATTGGCATTCTTAGTTTTGCCATAAAACTGACATATATACTGTATCTTCGTCAAACTGCTCTTCACAATATCGAAATGCGTCTTCAAGTGCCGCCTTCCCTTGTTGTGCAGACATTGAGGTTCCTTGTCACTATCAATTGTGTTGTCACTGTTATACTTTTTGTTATTGAGTCGTACAATTTCATCATCTGATAGGCCTTCCACTGTCACTTTAGATTTGTCAGTTGATAGCTTCTGCACATTTGCAATATCCATATAATCGATGAGTTCTTGTCAGTTAGTAGTTCTTCTCCAATTTCTAACGACTGTGCGAGCATCAGTTTTGGCAGTTTGGTAGGAATACAGTAAGTAGTTGATTTTTTTCCTCCAGAAATGCGCGTTTACAAAATTAATAAGACACGTGATCAGATGTGACTATAGACAGCGGTCATTAGTTACATTCTGTTCAAAGATTTTGGTGATAGGGATTATAAGGAGATTTATTAATAAGTGTGACTATAGACGGGGCAATTTTTATATAATACGGTTTTGGCAATAAATTACTAGTGACTATAGGCAGATAGTGACTATAACTGGTAGGGACTATAGACAGGAGTTGACTGTAGACTTGCAAAGATTTACTGCGGTCGTTAGCATAGAAATAAGTCTCCGGAATCAATTTTTATCGTTAATTTCTTGATAGTGACTATAAGCAAATTCGTGACTGTAGAGAGGTTAATATTAGCGATTGTCACCACGTGTCTTTTATATAAAATTTACCCGATCATCTTCTCTTTTATCATTACTCCAACATGCAAAGTTACTTCCACCACAAAAAATTGGTTAGCTCAAGGCGCTCCTTCCTTTGATTATGATGGATACGTTATTGGGGATATACCGGAAGTTGCTGTGTTATATGGAAAGTCTCGAGAAAGTATGATTATCCGAACTTTACCGTGAATGTGTATACCGTATAATTCATATTATTTTTATTTCCAGGATGACTTATCAATCTTATAAACATTAATTTTTCAAATCACAATCGCATTCCTTTCTTTGACGAAGTATTCAACCAATTGGGCTGTCGCGTTGAACCGAAAGAGAATCTTTTGAACCCGACTGGGAAAGCTTGTGATATACTATTGGGAGAGCGGACAACATTAAATATTCTAGCGAGGTGTAGTGGGATTGCTACTATGTGTGTGTTATATATGTGTCTGGTGAGTTGCTGGGTATGTTGTGGGATGCAACGAGTCCGAAAACATCAGTTGGTAACTGTTAGACACGATAAGGTTGCTTTTTTTTGATAAAGCAAACAAATGTGTAGCGTTGAAGAAACAGCACGGATACGTGGTATAATGGAATCATAGCAGGAACGAGAAAGATTACTCCTGGTAAGTAAAATTTGTATATAAAACTTACTATCAATACTACTGGTATCGACACAATGTAGTAATTATTTTATTATTTCTGTCCATACGACTTCCGTTTAGTTGAAAAGTATGGCATGTTAGTTGGAGGAGTAGGCACGCACCGTATGGACTTGTCATCAATGATAATCTTAAAAGACAACCACATCTGGAGTCAAGGTAATTTTCGCAGTATTGTCTTTCTTTAGACTCATATCGCTTTGCTATTATCAAACTCTCTCGCCCTTTTAAGGCTCGATAACCAAGGCAGTCCAACGAGCACG